GGGAGGTTGAGGGTGAAGTCGTCGGTGAAAGAGAGGAAGAGAGGTTTACTCAAGTCTCCTCCCACTTGAAGAGAATCTCCAAGTTGAACCGCCGAGGAAAAACAAAAAGGGCCGCTGCGACCTAAAGCCAAGGCCGGTTGGGAGCTGGCGACGTCACAGGGAAAGATGCAGACAAGGATCCGTGTAAGTCCGTGGCACGTCGCACTTGGGCAACACGAGGGGATGAGTGGACAGGAGTAAGCGTGAGCCGTGAGGTAGGGTAGAGGACTGGCAGCAGCAAGAACAAGGGAAATCTGTACATCACACGAGCGGGCCGTGATAGAATGGCAGCGGCAGATTGGTGTTATATGATGTGAGCTGTCTGCATGTTCCCAATCATTTTCCATGTGCCCAGCCACTGGCAGCTGCAGTAGCGTCATCGGGCCGCGCAGGGCCCTTTTTCCCTCTTGTCCTCTTGGGTTCCAAGCAGTTTTTTCGGGCCTTGGAAGACAGTCCAAGAGAATTCATCTACCCATGCGCCGCCTACCCTACCTTGTCTAGTACCTTACTACCTACCAAGAGGGTGTGGGGAGTGGAAATGAAGGGGACATCAACATCGACATGTTTTTCCATGTTTTTCTTGCGCTGGACGAACAGCAAGCAATGGCCGTTGTTCCGCGGTGCCGCTACGTGGTGTTCCCTGTTCGTTGTCCGTCCAACTCGGATTGGCTGCCCTGGAAAGAAAGTTGAGATGAGGGGAGGTTGGGATGAATTCCAAGGTTCTGATTGGATGGTGGGTAGCGTTGTAAATGGCGTGGCTGGTGAAGGCCGGGTGGCTGGGGCTCCGCCAGACCCTTGGCGTAAGGACGCAGGACCCGTCGACTCGGTGCCAGAATCTTGTGAGACCCCTCTTCCGCAGCAACCTCCAAGGATTCATGAGAAGTCATGGTTGCTGAATGGGGAGTAAATCTCTGACGGTGATGTTCAGGTACGGAGTACGCAAGACGGGGGCTCGGGACGCGGGACGCGAGGCCTCGCATGAGTGTGGGATACCCTACGAATAGGCAGGGGATTCTTCGGACTTCGATGTCCACGGCCGCCGGCTCTCACATCCGGGTTCGTGACGATTGCGTACCCGAACGTCTGGCGGACAGGTGTCTCGGACGGAGGGGCGCAGGCAGCTAACGGTAATTGACACCTTTCGGCGACAGGCCCGTGACGCATGGAAGCCGTTGCGCTGTCTGGGATTCTTCGTGCGCTGGCGTGTTGGACTCGACGGAAGGCCAGGCTCCTGTGCGCTTGGAAAAGAAGCACATGGATCAGTCTCGAATGCCGTTCATCCCGGACGGATACTCTGTGCATTATGATCCTTATCTCGTTTGACACTCTGCTATGTGTGAACTGGCACCCGGTTCACGGTGATCCCGCCAACCGGCCGATGGTCAAGTACCCCGGACAGGATCCCGTCTCGGGTATCCACACGGAGCCGGACAGACTGGATCCGCCATCTCTCCGCAACCGGCGTCACGCGATCCATCCTCAACAGGCCGGTGATTCCCCCCTTCCCTCCCCGCAATCTAGCACATTGGCAACTAGAGTCCCACACTGGTCTTCTACAAGCACTAAGAAGGAAACGCTCACAGCGCTCGCGGCGGTCAGAGAACCCCTAATTACCTAAAAATTACGGGCAAACAGTAGCACAATGCGGGGGAGTCATGGGTAGCTGCGGGTAGCTGCGGGCTGCCCCACCACCTGGTGCACCCGCGCCCGCGTGTAGAGTGTCAGATACGCCTTACGCCCTTTGTTATCTCGAAAGCTCCCTGGACTCGGGCTGAGGTAACCAGCAATCTCCAACACAGCTCACAACACCTCTTGGAATCTCGCAGTGAAGCACATCTTACATTCTTCTTTCTCAAAACATCTCACAACTCAAATCGGCCCCCGCAAGCATGTACTCGAGAGCCGCTCGCCGTGGCCTCAATGGCTCCGTCTGCCGGGCCTCCTCTGAGCCCTTATCAGCAGCTGCTGCCCCTCCTCGCACCCCATCTCGACTTACAGATCTCCGGCGCCGGAGCCGGGAACGCGCCCCGGTGATATGGGAGCCCGTCGCCTCTCAACGCCCGTTTCACTCAAAGTCGAGTGACAGATCCGTGGCAGACGCCGTCCCCGTGGAGAGGAAAGCAACTTTTGAGAAGAGACAGCAGCCGTCGCCGTTCGATGGCGTCCGGGAACGCAGGGCCAAGGCCGGCAAGCTGATTGCGGGTGTGGCCGCCGCCTCAGATAGCGACATGTTCAAAGCTCCCGTACGTTGCCTCTCACACCTTGACATTCTGGCTTTGTAGGAGGTTATACTGACACTCACTCAAAGGCCATTGGGAAGCCCAAATCAAAGCGATGGGACCGTAAGCTTCACACATCCTCTCACTCCCTGCACATTAATCTCACTGACACACCTTTCAAGATCATCTCTCTAAAGAATCCCTCTCCCGCCACCCCTGCTCCCTCAAACAAGCCGCCCGCCACCTCAAGAAACCGGGCCTCATCTCCCTCGGCGGCGGCCTTCCCTCGAGCGCTTACTTCCCCTTCGCCTCCCTCTCCGTCCGCGTCCCTACGGCCCCGCACTTCTCCGAGGCCGACACCATCGGCGCCCACGGCCAAGACATCACCGTCGGCAAATACGACGTCCGCGACGACCCCGAAGGCCGCGCGGAATACGACCTCTCCATCGCCTTAAACTACACCCAGTCCACCGGGTCCGCCCAAATGATGCGCTTCGTCACAGAACACACCGAGCTCGTCTACAACCCGCCCTACGCCGACTGGCAATGCTGCCAGACCGTCGGCAGCACCGCCGCTCTCGAGCAGACGCTGCGCATGTTCTGCGACAAAGACCGCAAAGACGCCGTCCTGACGGAGGAGTACAGCTTCTCCACCGCGCTCGAGACCATTGCCCCGCTCGGCGTAAAGGCCGTCGGCGTCCCCGTCGACGCGGAGGGCCTGTTGCCCGACGCCATGGACGAGATGCTCTCGGCGTGGGACCCGGCGGCGCGGGGCGGGCACAGGAAGCCGCATCTGCTGTACACCGTCCCCTCGGGCCAGAACCCCACGGGCGCGACGCAGTCTGCTGCCCGGCGGCGCGCCATCTATGCCGTGGCGCAGAAGCACGATCTCTACATAATCGAAGACGAGCCCTACTATTTCCTCCAGATGCAGCCCTACGCCGGGCCCGATGCTTCTGCGCCGGCAGCCCCGCCCCCGTCGTCCGTCGACGAGTTCCTCGGCACGCTGATCCCCTCCCTACTAAGCATGGACACGGACGGCCGCGTGCTCCGTATGGACTCTTTCAGTAAGGTCCTCGTGCCCGGGTCACGCCTTGGCTGGGTGACGGCCTCGGCGCAGGTGATTGAGCGCTTCATCCGCCACGCCGAGGTCGCGAACCAAGGCCCCTCGGGTTTCTCGCAGGTCGCCGTGTGGAAGCTGCTCGACGAGACGTGGGGCCACGAGGGGTACCTCCAGTGGCTGATGAATTTGCGCATGGAGTACACGCAGCGCCGCGACTGGCTGCTCGCCGCGTGCGAGAGGCACCTCCCCCGTGATATCGTGAGCTGGACGCCCCCTGCTGCTGGCATGTTTGTAAGTTTCAACGTCATTCTCCTCCTCCTCCTCCTCCACCACCTCCTCCTCTCACATCCATCTCTCTTGCGACCTGACTTATCCCGAGACTAACCACCTTCGCCCCCGTATACAGTTATGGCTTCAAATAGATCACACCGCCCACCCAGACAGTAACAGCAGCCGTCCCCTTCTCGAGATCGAAGAGGAAATCTTCAACTCGTGCATCGAAAAGGGCGTCCTCTGCGCCCGCGGCTCCTGGTTCCGCACCGAGCAGGACACCCCGCTCAAGGACCTCTTCTTCCGCGCCACGTTCGCCTCGGCAAGCGAGCAGGACATGGATAAGGCGATTCAGAGGCTGGGGGCTGCCATCAAGGAGAGTTTCTGCGTTGCGTGAGACAAAATCACTTGCGGGCTCTTCGTTTCTTCATCTCACGCAATCTCACTTTGTTCTTTGTTTTTTCTTCGGTTTTGAATCTTCACGTCATCTTCCGCATCGTCTTTTTTAGTATGAGTTCGTTTGGGAGGTTTGGGTTGGTTTAGCATTATCATTATCATCATTACATTGGAGCGTGGGCTTTAGGGGCTATGACTCATCTATTTTCCCATTGCATTGGGGAGCTTAGAATAAGAGGTAGTTACTATGCTTTATCACGAGAAATGAGAAGACCTAGACTCAAGGTTTGGCATTTTTCAAGAAACGAATATCACAACGGAATAGCACTTCACTTTGACAGTGTTCGCAAAATTGATGGGTCAGTTGCAAAATGTATTCCATTATAATTAGACCACAATACTTTCCAAGAAGAAACATGGTACGGATTCAGATTTAAAAAAAAAAAAAAAAAAAACCCCCCATTACGGGAATCTTTACGGATTCTCTGATGATAAAACCAAACCTTCCTGCATAATCTCTTCGGTTCCCATATCATCTCAACATGCCTCATATCCAGGCTAGTCTCTCCCACCTACGATGCCACTCGAGGTTGCCAAGCCGAGGTGGCCCCATGCACATCAGCAGCCACATCCAAATTGGCTGCCTCACTTCAGCCCCATAAAGTGAGGTAGTCCAGCATACCATGAGTACCCGCCGTGCTTACTCTGCTTCTTGCCGGGAGTAGGTAAAGGTAGGTAGATAGGCCTACTCTAGGCTTGCTTCGGCCTTGCGAGTTTCACCCAGTCTTTTCCGGGCCGGTTGATATGTGGCTTGGCAACATGTATGGACGGGGTTGTTCCGTTACACAAAAGACATTTGCTTATCCCAACCTCACACACCAGTTGGTCTACAGTGCGCTTAGACGGCGGTTGGCGCTGTCTTAAGAACTACCTCGTACAGAGGAAGAGTGTTGTTTTGAGAATGTTCGTTGTAATCATCAGTCATCGCGCCGCAATATGAGATATACCAAAACCTCCCACCTCCACCTTAACCTTGCTTCGCCCTCCAAAAAGCAACCTTTACGCCATCCCCAGGCTGTAGCACAATTTCCGCCTTGAGTGTCGGCTTCCCGCCGTCAACGGCATCCATATAACTCTCCACCCTCTCAAACCTCTGGAACAGCCGGCACAGCGTATAACTCATCTCCGTCAGCGCAAACTGTTGCCCGATGCAGATCCGGGGACCGCCGTTGAACGGGATATACGTCCACGGCTTGGGCTGCCAGTGATACCACCGCTCCGGCGAGAAGGTCTCCGGGTGCGCAAACGTCTCGGACACGGGCGGGTACAGGTCCGCGCGGCGCTGCATCAGGAGCGTGGAGTACCCGATCGGCGTGTCCTTGCACACGGCGAGGGGTAAGGTGCCGTCGGGCCCGCCGCCGACGGGGAGGGTCGTGTCCTTGAGGGCGAGGCGGACGTTGAAGGGGACGACAGGGTAGAGGCGGAGGACCTCGTTCATGACGTTTTGGAGGTACTTCATGTTCTTGAGGTCGGCGTACGTGGGCTCCCGATCGAGACCTACCTGCTCGACGATCTCGGCGCGGAGCTTGCGGACGACTTCGGGGTGGCGGCCCAGCTCGTATAAGGTCCAGGAGAGGGAGGCAGCGGTGGTGTCGCGGCCTGCGAGGAGGACGGCGACGAGCTGGTCGCGGAGGACTTTGCGGTCGCGGGTGAAGCTGGCGAGCTCGTGGAGGAAGGTGTACCCTTGGTCGGATTTCGTCTTGGAGGCGAGCTCCTCGGGGCTCAGGCGGAGGGCGCGCTCGATGAACTTGTTGACAAAGTCGTTCATTACGTTGAGGCCGGCGCGGAAGGAGAAGAGGGGGATGAAAGGTTTCAGCTTGGCGGCGCGGGCGAGGATGTTTTGGACGCGCTGGACTTCGTTGAAGGCTTCGGCGAACTCCTGCTTGACGGTTCTGTTAGGGGTTCTCATGTTAGTCTGTGGTGCTGCAAAGGTTTGGTGAGGTATAACTCACGAAAGAGACTTTACATCCTGGCCCAGGAGGAAGTCGGTGGCCACGTCCAAGGTGTATCGGAAGAAGAGGTCCGAGACGTCCATGACCTTGCCGTCAACAGCATCCATGTTGACAACCTGATCCTCTCCGTCCAAGGCGCCACCGTTGGCAATAGCCTTGAACAAGGTCTGGATATGCGACTCGAAGCAATGCAAGTCACTGACGCGGTCCTTGATGAACTGGGGCCGGATGAGCTGCCGGCTGGCATGCCACTGGTCGCCGTCGGTGGTGAAGATGCTGTCGCCGAGGAACTCCTTCCACTCCTGGTGGAAGGGCTCGCCCTTGCCGTAGTCGGAGAACTGGGTGGCGAGGATGGCCTTGATGTTCTCCGGGTCGGCGGTGAAGACGATGCGCAGGCCCAGGATCCTCTTCTCGCCAGTCCAGCCCTTGACTTTAGATAGCATGTCCTTCCAGAATTCGACGTTCTTATGTGTCATTGTCCCGCGGACGGCCTTGAAGATGAAGTCGATGCCTAGTGGGGGTAGGGAAGTGTGAGTAAACAGGAGCATTGATGAACACTGCCTTCAAGAACATGGACCACAGGATGTGTAAGTCACGTCGCGGACAGCATGAGGAACTCACCACCGGGGAAACGGGCATTGAGGGACTGGCCACGAGTGCCGGGCGCCAGACGGCGCAGCCGCATGGTCTCATCGAAGCGCTTGACGGCTACCCATAACCCCCAGGCTATTGCGCCAAATACCAAGATAATTTTGAGAGTAAGATACTCGAGGGCATGGTCTACGAGACCCATGGTGAGCAGATTCCCGTGGACGTGTCGTCTAGCGAGGATCGGTGGTAAGAACGATGTAAGTCTGAATCTAGAGCCCGAGAGATGCAGAACCGCCTATGAGCGTCACAAATTCGAGTAACGTCTCTTGAAATTGGCGATGATGGGTTGGTTTTCCGGTGCTCGAATGGGAGTTGACGTGCAGTCAGTCGTCAAATGTCTTAACGCAGGAAAAAGGTGGAGAGAGAGTCGACAGAGGATGGCGCAGGCGCAGTGACTATATTCAAGGAGCTTGTCTAGACCGGTGAAGCAAAACCCGATAGCTTATGTACGGAGGAACGGGATAAATCGAAAACCCGCTCCAGTGGGAGACAAAAAGAAGACCGAGTCTGGGCAACGAAGGCATAAACATCTGATGTAGGTAGGTCTGATGCTGGGGGGTGGAAAGCTGAGACTAGATGTATTAAGTATGTATCGAATAAGCTAAAAAGATGTATGAAAGCAGTGGTAGAGTACAAGGTGAAAGTACACCTCATTACCATTAGCTACTACGATGGGCTCATCCCCACTTGGTCTACCGTTCCTAGCTTGTTCCTCACCAAATCCGTCTATCCGTACCAACTTTTTTTCTCTTGAGCTTCGGTACGGGGTCCTCGGAGTGCAGTGTTAGGGGTCTGCTTGAGACTAGCCAGTGTTGGAGACAATGGGGAGGGGGGGGGGGTCCGAAGGACGAGGGGGACGAGGAATGTGAGGAGAGAATCAGAGACACGAATGCCAAGGACCCTCGATGTGATCATCCATCCTCCATCCGTCACATCCATGATCCATCGATGGCAGCAACCCGCGGACGGCCATAGAGAATCAAACCAAAGACGAATGGTTGGTCAATGTACATTCAGGTGGGCATTCCCCGCCCCCCTCTCTCCTCGGTAAAGGACCATCCCAAGTCCTCACATCCCTACCAAGTAATTACACCATGGGCCTCGATGTTCTCCGTGGACCGTCCACCGCGGCCGAAACACTTGCCCTTGTGTGCTAGCGGCGGCGTAAAAGCCACATGGCGAGTGAACTGGCGCTGGCTTGAAATAGGTTAGAACAAAAGTCCCATGTCACGCTTCACGCTTCACACTTCACGCTTCTTTTGCATTGGCCTTTCTTTAAAATTCTTAAATCGTATCACAAGGTGAGCGTCCATTGCGAGTATCTTCTGGACTAGTATACGTGGTCCAGCTGTATACTATCTAAAAGCTTTCCGAGTTCGCTCTCAGTACGAGTCAAGCAAAAAGAACCAAATTGTTGGCTGTTGTGCAACGGAAGCTCGCTGAACCGATACCCAAACCCTCTTTGTGCGTGGAACCGTACCCGCCACGCGGAGACTGGATGAGGAAAAGAGAGGATGGCTACCCGGGGCTCGATGATCCCTGGAGAAGGTTTGAATTGTATTACCTACATTCTCTCACCATGTTGTGGCACAACAGAGCCGAAAAGGCGGTCGAAGATGAGTTTGGTTTCGAGAGCCGCGGGGATTCGCTGCTGGGTGAAGCTAAGAAACCCCCCCCCCCCTGTTGGTTGTAAAAGCACCTACCTGCACATGTACGGCGCAGCATGCATGGCAGAACAGCATAGCAAGATCAGAAACTTCGCGTGCGCGCCGCTGTTGCGCTGGCTCTACTTCATCAAATATCATCCCCCCAGATATCTTCCGTTTTAGGGAAAGAGATGCAATGTCTGGCCAATCGTGAGATGCTGTGTACTTGAGAGTTGCGAGAAGGTTGCGGCATAGTTGCTGGGGACATGCCTACCTGATGCCGAGGTCATGAACCTCTTTTCTTCGACGAAGAGAATTTTTGGATCTTTTGTTTGAGAGAGTGATGGGATGAGGCAATTGGATGGATTACGTACAGTGCGATGTGCTAGAGCAGCATAATTATTCCCTAGTCCACGAAATGTTTAATTCGTCTTGTCACGAACGATTGCAACAATTTCCATTCTCCACGAGAACGGCATAGTCAAGCTGTTCGACTCTTCCTTCAATTGACAGTAGCATTCAACGATGCTGCCTTAGTCCTTATCTTTTCACCCATGCCTTTTGTTGAGAAACTTGAGAACCTCACTTCGTCCCAGTCATTCCACGTTGGAGACTAGAGACTCAGACAGAAAGCATAGTGCAAGACCCCACCGATCACGATCTGAATACCCAGAAAGGGAATTTCTGCTGTCGCAACCTGCAGGTGCCCACACGACTTTGACCACGGCTTCTCCACCCCGCAACTTACAGCTTATACCCCTGCAACTCCTTTTCAAGAGGAGGAGAAGAGAAGTCCAATTGGTTCCTGCCAGGTTCACGCCTACCTTACCTTAGCGCGACTCCCAGCTCCTCTCACTGCCGGAGCGGAGGGTGACGTCGGAATAGTTTTTGTCCTTGTGACTACAGAAATGAGCTGGATGGCGTGAAGGAGAGAGAGCGCCAAATCTTGCGTGCGTTGCTGACCGAGAAGAAATCCCCCCTTAACACTCAAGCGAGCATGTATGTTCCAGCAGAATAGTACGACGTTGATCCCGTACATATATATCACAAGTTAGGTACGGAGCATCAGACCTCTGAAAACGCCTAGAATATGGACAAGAAAGGCACACGCATAAATCATGTAAACTGCAATACCACGGGCAACACATCACAATCACGAGCAAATAAACCCTTACCCTAGAATTCACTCTCCTTCTAGAAGTAGGTCACGCTAGATTCACCGAGGTTTGGACATGTAGATCATCCCCCATCCCCGATCTCTCCCCCGCTTTCCACAAACGAGCCGTTCATGCGGAGGGCGCAGCGGGAACTAAGCACAACCAACCTCAGAGAGAGCGACGGCGGCGGCTGCCAAAAAAAAAAAGTCCCGATCTTCCCTCCCCTCCCTCTGTCACGGAAAGGAGATTCGGATGAACTTTTTAGTCCAACGGCGCCGGGCAACAGATACTGAATATGGCGACCCGATCCCCTGGGTGCTTGATGATTTGTGTTGGATGGTATGAAGCGTTTTTCTGCCTATGATCTGCTTTTCTCATATTGACACCCGGAACAGGGAATCCATCATTCGTTGTAAGAGTATTGATTAATGTGATAAACCCCTAACCCTACAAAATGTACATGAAGAGGTATGTTCAACTGTCCAGGGATGAGAGACTCGATGCCTTCTCCCCGGAAGACCGCATCACGCGGAATAAACTAGAGAGCTTGGAAAACACCAACCCAGCTCTTACACCATGGGATACCCACACTCGCCCGCATCCCCCTGCGTGCAAAACGGCATCTGCACCGGCTCCGACCTCACACCGCGCGCCACCATCCTCTCCCGGAACTCAGCCAGCCTCGGCGCCGCGTCGTACTGGCTTCGGTTCTGGCCCGAAGCGTCCCGCCGGCCCGACCACAACACCTCGCCCGCCGCGCTGGCCCGCGGCCACAGTATCCCGTCGATGCTGACGGGGTCGATGGACTCGCTCCACGCCGCCACCTCGCCGCCCAGGACGAGCTTGGCTTCCGTCTCGGTCAAGTTGGCCCGCGGGTCGTGCGAGTACATGAGACGCCACCCCTTTGCCGGCGAGCACCAGTCGTTGAAGGGGAAAAAGGCCTCAAAGGCGGCTCCATTGTCGAAATTCATCCAGTGGCCTCGGCCACAGTCGGAGTACTGGTATACATTAGCAAAGTGGACTCCTCGATTTGGACGTTGATAACACATACCCAGTAGTTGTAGTTACTGTCAATGACCTTGTGGCCCTTGCTGGTCAGTTTCTTGACGGAATCGCCTCCCAACCAAGACTGGACCACGACATCGTCGCCGAGCGTAATGTTCCACTCGAGCGGCATCTCCTCCCAGACCAACGGGATGAGCCCGTGCTTGCGGATTCTGGCGTGGTTCTTGTCCATGAACTTTTGCAAAAGCGGCTGTAGGACCTCGCTTGAGTTGGACCGGATACCCTCGTCGAGCATTGAGTCGTTCTTGTTCAGCTCATCGCCACCAGTGTGGAAGTATGCCGTGTAAGGACCGACCCTCGGCAGGAGATCGTCAAAGAGCTTGTCCAGGAACTCGTCGACTCGGGTATCGTTCATCTTGAAGGCACCACACGGCGGCTCTACGCACCACCAAGTGTACGGCTTCTCGTTGTAAGCCACAATCAGCTCCGGGTAGGCAAAAGAAACGGATCCAATGTGTCCCGGCATGTCAATTTCAATCACCGGCTCAATTCCGCGGTGAACTGCGTATTCCTGGATCTTGGCCAAGTCCTCGGGCGAGTATGACAATCCCTTGCGGTAAGCGCCTTTGGCGGCTAGATCGGGCATTGCAGGAATGTCAAGCGGCCATGACTGCGAGTCCGTGATGTGGATGTGGAGCCGGTTGAGCTTATTCCAAGACATGGCGTCAATGACCCTCAGAACATCCTGAACGGGGAAAAAATTGCGCGCCGTATCAATCATGATTCCGCGGTGGGAGTACTCTGGAGAATCCTCAATCGAAACGGGTGCCAGTGTGGTATACCAGGAGGTGCCGGATGTATGTTGGTAGAAGAGCTGCACAAACGTCTCAAGACCTCTCAAGATGCCGGTGGAGGACTTGGCCTCAAGCGTAGCTGAGCCATCCTCTGTGATGTTGAGCGCGTACGATTCATCGACGTCACCGGCGACAGGCTTAAATGTGCTGGGCTTATCTTCTCCAGTTTGTGAGATCTGCAGCGACTTGACTGCCTTCTTGTCCGCCGCGTACACGTCTGGCTCAAAGTCACTGTTCTTGGGGTGGAACTTCCAGGGCACGAAGTTTTGCTGAAAGATGGCAGCCATGGCGCGCGACACACCGCCTTGCACAATGTCTTTGCTGTTAAACGTCGAGCCCGAAGCCGGGTTGTAGCCATAAGTGTAGGGCAGCTGCACGTTAAAGAAATTCTCAGTATTCTGTGTCTCATCATGGGAAGTGGAAGTGGAAGCAGAAGAAGGGCGCCAGCGTACAGATCCTCCATTATATGTGATTTCCAGTGTTTGGCTTATGAACAGAACAGTCTTGCCAGTGGAAAGCTTCTTCGGGGCCGGCCAGATACCGGCACTGACCTGGCCCACGGCGAGGGAGAGGGATACGAATAAGAGAGAGGGTAACATTTTGACAAGTTTAAGAGTCCGAGATGAGAAGAATTAGGAAAAGAAGAAGAAGTGGCCCGTTTAAACCAACGGAAGGGTCGAGGCTGGTTATATGAGCAAGGTAGGGAAATGCGCGTCGGTCTTTGTGGTGTGTTTGCGCTGTTCTTGCGAACCACAATTCTCCCGATAAGGCAGAGAAAGTATGATATAGTCTCAGCCACCAAACGAACCGAAAGATTCGTCCCGTGCCACTTTCAGCTGCAGAAGAAAGACATACGAGAGCGTAGAAGTAGTTGCCCGTCGACTCTGCTGCCTTTTTCTTTACGGATACCGCGCAGCCAAGTCTGGATGGTGGTTGGGAACCAACCGACCAATTGACAGTGTGGTGCACAGAGCAACGTTACGTTACGTCAAGCTTTTGAGTTGACTGAGCCAAGCTCACTGTACGCTTGACGACCCACGCTACTGCTGACGACGGAGGGGCTGGCTGATGGGGGGAGGGAGAGATCCTCGGGCCTGGTCGATCTCATGCGGTTGAGAAAAAGGAATGAGCAAGAAAGATGAAAGCTTCTCGAAATTGGGTAGACCGACGAACTGGCCTTATAAGGTAAAAGTACCCCGTACGTTGGATGCGACGTGCCAGGCCGGGCTGGGGCAATGGTACGATCCAATATGTTGATCCCCCCAGTATTCGGTTCCTGATAATCTAGGGAAAATAGTAGGCTATGATTCGTTTGTTGGTGGTGATGAACAAGGGGTATTGCCTTCATGGGAGTCGAGGCGCAGGGCGGATGAGAAAAGGCAGCGGCTGTGCTTTGACGCCAATCCAACGCCGGGGGATTTAAGGAGCCGAATGAGCCGGGAGGCGCGGAGAAGAACCGAAGAAACAAGACGATTGTTCTGCAGGAGACGATGGCGTTGGGATGGTCGATTTGTTGGTTTATGCTCTCATAATAAAACTAGTGTCCCTTGGGATAGTCAAGCGCAGTTAAGAGCGTGAGAGCGCGTGAGAAGCGACAAAGATGATAGATGAACCAAGCTCAATAGGGATAGAGGTGGCAAATGCCCATGAAGTCTCGAGATTGACAGGAACAAGAAAGATTGACTGCCAGTATCATCTGGTCAAAAGTCAAAGTAGCGTCAACGCAGGGACTCTTGAAGGTAAGAGCGGGCATTAGGATCATCAACACCGCCTGTCATGAGCAACGATTGCAAGGATGACAGGAGGGGGAAGGAGGAGCTGGAGGAGGTCAAGGGGAGGCGCGGCAGAAGCTCCCCCCCCGAGCCAAGGACCTAAGCCAGGCCAGGGCAGCCAACCGTCATGGCGGCAGGGGGCGGGGAACGGCACCTACGGCCAAACAACTTTAATTACCGACCAATCAAGTACACGGAAACCTCCGATCCAAGGGCGGCATTGTCTCCATCGACAAGGAAACAAGAAACGTAGTTAGAGTACGGATATTCTCTCGTAAAGCCTTTCATTCGGTCTCGCTTAGTCGGCAACAGTAAGATAAGCATTTCGATGGCTTTCGATATTCGGCAGACCAGGCTTTGGATACGCGTGTTGCAGTCAATATTTAGCGAGGGAAGACTGAAAAAAGTGAGAAACCAGAGCTGGTCACCAGACGCACATTGCAAGCCAAGACAGAAACCCAATACCTTAGTGGAGGGTACCGGTAGCGTCCATTGCACACACCAACGACGGATCTGCAACCATACCTTATGTAAGATTCTTATCTTTTACAAGTCCCGACGTATGCCGCAAGAACATACAAGGGCCTCGTACTGCATTTCGGCCCTCGACAGTGAGAGATCTGGAAACATCTAGGAGCCCTCGGCACTAAGAGTAAGATTCTGGTCGCCGCAGTCTCATCGCGAGTCTCATATGTAGGGAGGGAAAGTAGAGAACTCTTTCCTTTGTCGTCACCCTGTTTCAGCTGCCACCCGTACAGCGTGGTGGCTCTGAGACAGACTCTCAGTGTTAACCAATATCTTTGGTAGTGACTGGTGTCATATCCTGCCTGGAAGTAATGGCGGTGAAAGGCGCCATAGTCTAAGGCATCCGTAGATGCAAAAAGCTCAGCCCCTATACTAGGGAGCCTACGAAAGATCCAAGGAGACTCTTACCAGCCTCAGGTGTAACGATGCAACGATTTTTACTAGAAGAAGACGGGACTCGAACCCGGGACCTATGTGTGCGGGGCAGTTCATTCAGATGCGCCGATATTCCCCGCTATGACGCAGGCCTTGGTGACAGAATAAAGCATTTCTATTCATATAGAGGCATCGCGGGCGGGCGAAGCTGGAATAACCCAGAGATGGAAAGGACGTCATGGTGTATATCCAGCCTGCCTGGAAGGAGTGGAACCACACGGGTCGGATGGTTTCTGGGGAAAAGAGGCTGGAAAGCCGGTGGCTGTGCCGCCGTTGCGCTGAATAATCAGGCCCACGGGTGTGTCGTGTGCCTGAGTTAGTCAGGGCAAGCCACACTTGGAATTCGCCTGAACCTTCTCCTTCTGCAGTGAAGAACCTCCAGACGTTGGCTTTACACCACCTTGCTGCGCGGCGTCTCACGTGACTACTTACCTCTCCTTCCAATCAAAGGCTTTGTTGTGGGCCCAGCTCTGAATTCTCCGTCATCTCAGGAACGTTCTTTGGCTCTCTTGCCTTGCCTACCTCGATTCACTTCCTCCACCATACACAACATTCTTTTGTTGCTCTCTTGTGCATCACCAACATCCTCCTTCCGGAATCATCGCCTGCTCCCCATATATTCCGGCGCAAGCGATTCCCACTACCGCGCGCATTCTTAACACGTCAACCAAAGTCCCCGGTGCCGTATTCGCCGCCGACTTTTCTTTCCCGAAAGCAACGCGTCTGGTCCTGCAGCTCGACTCCAAAAAAAATTGAACGTACCACGACTCGTCGCATTCGCACTCGAAGCTTCACGCGATATTCGCCATATCGGCGCCAATCAATATGACGGTCCAGGTCGTCCTCAACACCCCGCTGGCGGATGCTTTGAGCGCCGCCATTCAGCCCAAATTGATCGAGGCTGGCTGGGCATCAGGCTCCGACGATGATGCCGCGCTTGTCGAATACATCATTCTCATGCTCGTCAACGGTCGCACCCAGGAGCAGATTGCCACCGAACTCTCGGCCGATCTCCTTGGTCTGGGTCCCGAAGATGCGGGCGCTCAGCAATTCGCCGCATGGCTCTTTCAACAGGTTGAGCAGACCGACGCACAACTCAACGGTACTCAACCTTCCGGTAACGATGTCATGACTGGCATGGCTCAAGGAAATGGAGACTTTGACACCGATATGGGTGCAGGTGATGGCAATGAGTTAAACGCGTTTGTCTTCCTAACCTACCCCCAGCAGGCCGTACATTACTAACTCGTTGTAGCCCGACTGGCCCGCGATCCATGCGGAACGGTCCCAACCCCCGAGGTGGTCGCGACAAGCGGATGCTGGGCCACATGACCAAGGCTATGGACCGGTCCGGCGATTCGGTTCTTCACCGCGTTCGCGGAAACGACAGAATCAACTCCCACGCCCGAGGCCCACCCACAGGCCCCAGAGGCGGAATGGGACGCGGCGGACGGCCCATGAATAACCGCGGAGTGAACATCCAAGCCGGTCTCAACGCGATGGCAGGAATGAACGGTCAACATGGCGGTCCCCCGGGAATGAACCCCATGGCCCAAGGTTGGGGCATGCCCCCGCCGCAAGGACAGCCATCACAAATGGATCTCATGGCAATGATGGAGCAACAGGCGCAGATGATGTCACAACTCCAACAGCAGCTTATGAACCAAAGTGGTGGGCGAGGTGGACGCCGTGGCGGCAAGTCTTTGTTTGATCGCACTCAAAATTCTCGCGGCGGTTTCCGACAACATCAATCCAGAGATAAGCAAGATTCAGCGATGACGGAAGGCGGAGAGGGAGACGACGTTGACATGTCACAATCGAAGCGCGAACCGCCCAACCCCGACGAGACTGTCTGCAAGTACAACCTCCGTTGCACCAACGGCGAGTGCAAATTTGCGCATCAGTCACCCGCGGCACCGCCAGGCACCACAGTCGACATTAACGATGTATGCACTTTCGGTGCCGCATGCAAAAACCGCAAGTGTGTCGGACGGCACCCATCTCCAGCAGCCAGACTGGCGCATCAGAGCGAGCAAGACTGCAAATTCTTCCCCAACTGCACGAATCCGAGATGCCCCTTTAAGCATCCCGAGATGCCGCTGTGCCGCAATGGTGCTGGGTGTACGACTACGGGTTGCAAATTTACACATGTTAAGGTCAAGTGTAGATTCAACCCTTGCAAAAACCCTCACTGCATGTACACCCATGAGGAAGGCCAGCAGGGCGTCTTCAAGGACAAGGTGTGGACCGCCGAGGGTGTCGACGACCACGTCAGCGAACGTCAGTTTGTCGACACAAACGCACAAGCAGAAGTGATTCTCCCCGATTCAGAGAACGCAGTGAACCAAGAGCAGAGCAATGCGCAGGAGGTGATCAGCTAGGCGCTCATACGAGAACGTAAACCCTCAGGAACGCGAACTCTCAGCAGAGAGTTTACGCAATGCAAGAAGCGTTGTCTCTAGCAATGAGGCTGACTGGACGGCGGGCGGTGGATTGGAGGAGAGCAGTTGGCTCGGATTAGCGTCTCGCATCAGACCTGGTATACCCTTAGGAGGATCACTGTGAACTAGTTCAGTTTTGGGATCATTAGGAGGCTTTCGAGAAGAGGCCTCGATGGTGGAATGGGAGCGGCGACTTCTTGTATGATAATTGGACGATGATGTATGCCGAAAGCGACATGGCACTTTGGGCGTTTTGCGGGTGCAATTATTCTCTTATTCAAGTATAGACTGGGCTTTGGGCAAGCTGAAATAAAGCGAATCAGAGGACCTCATAAATTGAGGTCCCTGATAGTGTTAGAGGCAGAACATGCTGTCCTCTTTAGTAGCCACACTCCATGTTCTCTGGTCTTTGCTCCTCGATATCTTTGTGTCAATCATCGTCTGACTGTCCGAGAAGCCAACTACCTAGACTACGAATATTTAGGATAATAGTCTTTAGCCACAACATACAAAGGTTCCCATTTTCAAATAGCATCTAGTCTGTATCAATATTGAATGTGACTATCCTAGGAGAGCAATTGGCCTTCAAGACGTAGAAGCTGCCCATAATGGCAATTAATGTTGGTTCGAGGTGGTGGGGCCGGAGGCAACAAGGACCCCTAGCTCCAGGTACGGAATTGTTTGCTGCAAGACCCCAGCCCATGTCGTGACGCCACTTTACAGCACCAACATCTCTTCCAACGGTCAACTTCGGATTACCACTCTATTTCTTCCTTTCTCCTTTTCTCTCTTCCGGATCATTGAGCCTTATCAAATGGTGCTTAGGAGAGCCGACGATGCATTCATGGCTCTACTGAGGTCCTATCACTCCCAGCGCTTCTGCAGTGCAGCCCTCGGCGTCTGCGGCAGAAGCGCCGCCGCCGCCGCCGTCGTGCCCGCGCGACGATCCTTCTCGACAACTACCGTGGTCGCAAGACAAGAACGGCAACGAAGCCAGAAAGAGGCAGAACCAATCTTTACAAAGAACATCCAGGTCCCGACTGACATCGCCGTCGTCGGTAGCGGCATCGCGGGCCTCACGACCGCGCACTACCTGGCAAAGCTACTCCCCGAGACGTCCAACATCACCATATACGAGGCAGGGGACCGGGTGGGCGGTTGGATCAACACACAGGAGCTCGAGGTCGAAGTCAATGGAAAGAAAAGTAATGTGCGCTTCGAGCGCGGGCCGAGGACGTTGCGTGGTATGGGCAAGGATACATGGAAGTTTGACGACCTCGTGCTCTTCGACATGGTTCGTATCCTCTCGTTGCGAAGACCTATTATACCCCCTTCTCTGCTAACAGAAGCCCCCCCTTTTCCAACAAACAGATCAGAGACCTTCAAATGCAAGGCGAATACCTGGGCATCAAGTCCCCGCCCCGGTACATCTACTACCCGGACCACCTCGTCGAGATGCACCCGCGCAACGTCTTCCGCGAAGCCGCCTTCAAGGGCATCATCCCGGGCTTCCTGAACCTCATGTGGCGCCGCCAAAAGGCCCGCGAGGAGGTCAAGCCGGCCGACATGTCCGTCGCCGACTTCATCGCCACCTACACGGGACGCCCCGAGCTGACGAACAACCTGGCGTCGGCCATGCTCCACGGCATCTGGGGCGGCGACGCCGACAAGCTGAGCATGCGCAGCTTCATGGCCGGGCCCTGGCACCGCTTTTTCGACAAACCGTACAAGGAGGACGACTATGTGTCATATCCGCGGAGCGAGGTTGGTATAATGGCTACGTTGGGCCAAGATCAGGAGCTCCGGCAGTACTTGAAGTCGGCGCAAAAGGACCAGCTCGTCTTCTTCGAGAAGGGCATGAGCAGTCTACCGAATACCATTGCGGAACACCTGAGGAGGAGGAAGAATGTTACGTTCAAGATGGGCGAACCCGTCACCAGCCTGGAGTACGATAACAAGGGCAAAAAAGTTATGGTGAGCTGAACATCTCTTCTCTTTCTTGGGAAACCCCCTCCCAACCAACACCACAAACTAACATGCAACCTACCCCCCCTATAGCTCTCATCACCAAGCTCGACATCCCCAACACCATATGACAAGGTCATCTCCACCACCACTAGCAAAGCCCTACACGCCGCGACGGGAGGCGCCCTCCCCTCCCTCGCAAACTCCCCCAACGTCTCCATCATGGCCGTGAACCTCTGGTACCCGCAGCCGAACCTCAACGCCGCCCACCCAGGCGTCGGCTACCTCGTCCCCCGCGCAACAGACTCCAACCTCGAAGGCCTCCTCGGCGTCTTCTTCGACTCGGACGTCGTGCCCCGCGCCCCTGACGAGCCCGAAGGCACCAAATTCTTCGTCCTCATGGGCGGCCACTACTTTGACGGCCTCCCCGACGACGCCCTCCCCACCGAAGCCGAAGGCATCGAAATGGCTAAAGCCGTCGTCGAGCGCCACCTCGGCATCCCCCAGTCCACCCCGGCCTTCGCCATGGCGAGCCTCGCGAAAGACTGCATCCCGCAGCACCACGTCGGCCACTACAAGCGCATGGCGCACGCGAGCTACGAGCTGCGCGACGCCTTCAAGGGCCAGCTCACCGTCGCGGGCGGCTCGTACACGGGCATCGGCGTCATGGGCGCCCTGCGCGCGGGTTACGACGTCGCGGTGCACATTGCCCAGTCTGCGCAGGAGCACGTCGGCGACACGGGCCTCGAGCAGTTTGACAGCAGCGCTGAAATATTTTCGTCGCCTCGGTGGCAACTACGTGAAATTGGGCGTGATATCGACGATAAGATTGGGTGGAGGAATTACATCCGCTAAGAAGAGAAAGAAGCAGACGTGGGCTGGAATTGTTTGCCCATGTGTTGAAGGGATGTCTAACCCACTTGAATCATCATCCTGGGTTCTTGTACTATCTAAGCTTTGAGATATTATCATAGATGTAGACTAAAAAAGCATTCTCGACTTTGCTATTTTATAAGGTTTTCAGAGATGGCCATAACAACAAGTGTGTGACGTGAGGACTTGCTGTCCACCATGTCTTGAGTTCTTGGCTTGCAACACTGGTATCATTGTTATTGTCGAAATTAGCCTGCTTCTCAAACTTTTACACTCTCGGAGTCTCTCTCTTAGTCATATTCTTCAAGAAGCGTACGAAGATAATAACGATAAAGGGGATGACAGTGATAGAGGGCGAATCAAAGACACATTCAACGTAATACTGACAGGAAAAGGGGGTTTACTTTTGTGTTGACTGGTATTCCGCTTTGTCACGTACAATTTGTCACAGCATTAAAGGCTAGCATTGACCCTCCAAGCAGGGTTCAAATCACACAGAAGTTATGGCACGATCTACAGGGCAGACACGATTGACTTTACTGATATTTTTGAGGTATCTTTTGGGGGGAACCATCTACCGGTCCCTTGGCCAAACCGGCCCGGGCTTTCTTTTACAGGCACCGCTCCCATGCGCGCGTGCTTTACAACCACCTTGGCTTCCAAGTATCGTATACCCCGTCCCGTTGGTATCACGTCGTCACTAAATAATAATGGTGAATCGAAGAAGAAGAAACAAAATACACCGTCGCATCCAAACCGCGCCTCTTCTGGGCCAAGGTTATGCAACGCTGTTGGGCAGTCTCTCTGCCCACGTAGCTACGCCGATGCCCCCTTTCCTTCCTACATCCGATTCCATGTCTCGCCTGCAGGCACTCAATCGAGGACCAAGGGCGCTTGCTTACTTCCGCCACCGTTCCTGTTGCTCCCTTGGCTCACGCTCGTTGGCTGCGTCCCGAAAGACTGATTTGTTGAAGTTGTTTGACTGGTTTGTGTCGGTTGGCCCTCGGTTGATGGTGCGCTGCCAACGTCACCAGTCACAGCGTATGCTCGCACGAGGTCGTCGAGCTTCGTGAGCAACTCCATGGTGCTTGGGCCAGGCCGCGAGGCCGCGCTCGTCCTAAGACCCCTCCAGCCATTGCCGTGAGATTCCCAAACACCCTTTAGGATCTTGTTGAACTCCTCGTCAGGAGCCACCGCGCCCTGTGTTGCACGAGTAAAATTCCACCACATCTCGTTGCGCCGCATCCTGCTTCGTATTTCCAGTACTAAAACCCGCGGCTCGCCTGTCGGACTGGGCAGAGTATAACGAAGAGCGATCCAGTCGATGGACCTGGTGAAGATCTCGACGCGACCTTGGTTGGTTGTTTCGAGGGGTTCCCACTTCGATTCGATGCTCTCGAGAGTTCTCAGAACTGGGAGGAGTACCGGCATGTAAAAGATCAAGACTCTGAGTCCGTCCTGGGTATTCACCAACGTCGTGAGTAGGTCAAGGACTCTCGCGTGCGGGTTCCCCTTCTCCAGGGACATTCTAATCTGACTCTTAGCCAAGTCGAGGGATACCCTCCAGCGTTTTGGCTTCTGAGTTTGGTCGCTCTCCCCCGGCATCGTGATATCGCTGTATGTGAAGACGACCTGCTGAAGGCTGACTCTTTCGCACTTAACAGAGCCCCTTGCTTTGCTCATGGCTTCGAGGAAGCCTACAAGGCGATCAATGGACTTGACATGGGTTGTCAAAGTCTCTAGAATAGGTTGCCCAACCAAGTAGCGTATGCGGAATATGAATTCGCCCTTCTTGGGACTGAAGGAGACGTTGCGGTCGATACGGCCCTTTAGCAGTGCAAATTTAGTCTTGTCTTTGACCCGGACAATGGCGTCAACAATAGTGTTGAGTTCGGCGTTTTCGAGCATCTCCACAGCTGAGGGTTCATTGCCATCTTGGCCCTGGGCGGCTGTAGGCCGAGTTTGAAGCCCCTTGAACTTCACCTCGACCTGATCCTGCGCCCAAGATGAGTCCTGCTTGCCCGATTGCCTTGAGGTATCTTTGGAACCATCCTGTGCGCCCGTTTCTGATGACCCCAGGATCTGGGACAGCTTGATGACCAGGGACGGAAGCCGTACTTGTTGTGGTAGCGCATAGTTAGTCGACTCCTTCGTCAAGTATTGGATCTTGCCCCTATGCAAGTGCTCCAAGTCAGTAGCCTGTTGAACGATGCCAGTAACAAAGAGTGTTAGGTGAGACCAGAAGGCGTCATCCAAATCGGGTTGCCCTCGAGTGAGTTGCAGTTTGGTGTGGAACTTGGGTGGACGTGTTGGCGTGTTACGGTCACTGTAATCGTTAGTATCGCTGATCCAGCGCCTCTCAGGGGTATCAAACTTACATATCAAGCAGCCACCACTCGTCGCCGCTCAGGCTCAAGGACACCATCACGAACCAATTTTGATCTAGGCTCTGGCGCTGCATGAAAATAGTTTGGAACGCCTCACGGGTCCGAATGAACTGCTTGATGTCTTCGCCACCGAGGGGACTCTTGCAAGTCTTCCAGCCCACACTTCGTCCTCTGCGGCTGCACTCCTCAATGAAGTAGCCCCATCTGATGTTCTCGAGGCAGGTAACTCCGTCCTCAGCAGGGTCCTTGCCGCCGTAGTTGAGGCGGGTTTCTCCCTGTAGTGTATATTTCGCGTGGGGCTTGATCGCGGCGAACCCAGTGATGGGTTGTATGAGGAGTGTGACGTTATCCCGAGGGCCCAGTTGCATGCTCAAGGATGATTCCATCGGCTCCGTTTGAGAGACTGTCAAAGTCATCGAGGACTCCCTATTGACGAACCGAGGATATGATAGAAGCTTGGTGTGGATGGATGACAGAATGTGCTCAACGTGTCTGGCCACTGCCGTCTTGAGCAGGTCTTCGGCACACAAGTTGTCCACATCAAATGGCAGGAACACATCCTTGACTTCCTTGTTGTCCCGATACCAGCGTGCAACTAATCGACTGGAGTGCTTCGAATCAGTCTGCCCATTAGTCTTCTTGGCACTGTTCACTGCAATCATGACCCAGCTCTTTGGTCCGTTGGCTCCGTATCGAGTGGTCCAGTATTGTAAGGCCAAGGCTCTGTTCAGAGGTTCCACCATCAACGTGCCGGTCCATGTGCTTCGACTCAGCTCGATGGCCTGTCTCCTGAGCTCGCTGATCTTATGCGTGAGCACAAATTCGTGCAGGAATCGGTAGCATCCTTCGAGGCCTTCCTTTCCGAGGATTTCGTTGACGTGTGCTTCAAGGAACGACACCAGCGCGTCAGAGAGCTTGCTTGATGATGGCGAAAAGGCGAATCGGAAGTCAATGAACCAGAATTGTTGGGTAAAGTCCTCGTCGGCGATTGTCAAATCCACTTCAAACTCGCCCTTCACTACGAAAGTGACTCTACCAGACTGGATACTGTAATTCTTGAATTGATGTGGTATTTTGTCGTAGTCTTCCAGGTTCAGGCGAAGAGAAAGCATCGTATTAAGATCGTCGATCCATTTCAGTTGTTCTTCTGCTGTCAATGGCGGTGGTGGTATATATCCAGGCTACGACAGATTAGCTCCCATCTCTGCCTCGTCAAGATCTGGATAATTTACCTCTGGAATCCATGATGCTTCACCAGTCGTTAGGACTTGCAGAGCCGTCTTCAAGTCAGGGTTGGGAAGTCGGGCGTTGTCCAGCGAACGCTTCAGGTCAATCAGTAAGTCCTGGGAGTAGTCATATAGCATGCGTTTCGAGTCAATGTGTGCCTTGATGTCGATAAGCTTGCTGACAGCCTCTGCGTTCTTACTCCAGTCCGTAATGACGAGAGCCTTGACCCATTTAGAATGTGCGTCTTGTGCAAACTTGATCATGAGCATCTTCTTTCTCTTGTTTCCTTCCGACATATCATCAGGTGCATCGCTGCCATGGGGTGTGTTTCCGTTCACTGCAGGAGGTGCCCACTTAATGGAACCCATTTCGATGACGGTCTTCTGTAGCTCTTCGTGGGTGTGTTGCGCCAGTCGCGCGACAATCGTCGATAGGGGGATGTACCCCTGGGTGATATGCACAATCTCCTCGGGTAGGTCGTTCATCCTCGGTTTTTGCTGTAACGTCAGCCCGGTCGACATCTGCGATTGTTGCTTTCCTTGGGAGTCGTTTTGAGCGTTTCCGCCGGAAAGGCCGTTCGCCATGTTACCAGCCCCAGGGGTGTCGGCGGGCGCCTTGCCCTTATTCGGCTGTCCTTCCATCGTTCCACCATTGGCGCCGTTGACCTTTAGGTTTCTCTCATGGTTTGGATGTGTGCCGTTCAAACCCCCATTCTCCATGTTGACGATTCCAGGCATCGGGGGAGGGCCCTTCCTGCCTCGTTGCCTGCGTCACGACCGGCCCCCCAAAATATGAATTTGATTCTTTCCTGGTCGATAAATTATGGAATACTGATGCTGAGTGAAGCCGTGCCGGATGAGCAAGGGAGGATAATGAAATGCTGGTCCCGGTCCGAGGTGGCTGTCAGACGGGATTCAGTCATCGGCGCCGGATGCGCAAGCCAGCAGGACAGCGCAATCGCATCAACTAAGAAACCGAAGTTCCAAAGAGGGACGCGAAAGACGTAGGAGAAGCTCGGTCGCCGAAGTTTGGTAGTTAACAGGCGCAAGTGTGGTGTCGTGTAAACGCGATGAGGTCGTGGTCAATCGAAGGAACCGACCTAGCGTCGATCGTCGATGGGGAGGAGGATGCGGGATCGTTGTCGGAATTGTACCGTTGATTTCCGTGGAAAGTAATTCGCAAGTCGATAGAATCAGTGCATACGGAGTCTCCGAAGGGTCGTGGAAGGCGGGGCGCGCAAAAATGTTCGGTTTGTTGACTGCTAGGTAATTGGGCAAGTGGTGATGCGATGGTGAGAGCGTGCAGCCAGGCATACAAGCAGGGCGGGAACTAGATCGGTCACGGTGCAACCTGAGCCTTCAGCATTTTTCTCGGACAGCCACGCCTACGGGCAGGCGCCAGCAGTCGACTGTCCCTGCTGTTCATCTGGGTCGGGGTGTCATGTGATCTCTGCCAATGGGACTGCCATGGGGTCCACCGTGCAACTCCAAGCCGCAAACCACCTTAACCGTATTTAGCAGATTAACCTTATCTTATCAACTGCCGTACCTTTGTTTTGAGGTAGGAGCTCCTCGAAATACTTCGGTACCTCACCTAGCTAGTCACTTGATCCTGGCATGTACTCTTCATATATCGTTTCCAGCCGTAAATTCACGATTGCCCCTTTGCATCTTTCAGGGCCGAATCCTTGTATCATTTTTCACTTACATACCTAGAGACCGAACAGTGCTGTATGCTGCATTCTGGGCTGTCTCGTTGCTTCAAAACTTGATTGCATGTGTTCAAAATTTCCCATGATGACGTTCCCATGAACACCTACGCTTTCAACAGTGACTGACTCGCTGCTTTAGGTACCTTACTAAGTGAGTACCCTCGCACTGCCTCGTCACCCCGACTCTGCCGAGGACAGTCGTGTTTAGGTTGGTATACCTTACGGATATGAACCGTCCTTGGGAAGAGAGTTCGTCAATCATAGCAAGTGTAAGGAACAAACAGTTCTGATCATTAGAAACGTGAATCTCATTGATTTTCTATCCTCTCTGAACCGGCCAAGCAAAGCGAAGAAATGTCCATCGTCCTACCAGTGTTCACCCGTGGGCTTTTCTCCTGGCTTCCCTTGTTTATGTCGTCTTCATTTGAAATCTGTGCCCTCCCTTCGATGGTTATGATACGTTGCGCATGCTATAGGCGGCGCATTGGGATATCGCGGGTGCATTGGCCGAAAGTGTGGTTGTTTGTAGTTGGTGTAGTGGGAGTAGAGGGGTTTGCTCAACTGCTCGTAAACATCCTTTAGAATCAATTCTTCTATGTATGGTAGCTACGCTAAGGCGCGCACTTAGTTTTACTCACAACTTGTTCGGGGCAGCCTGAGCAGAGGTAGTAGGCCACTGGTATCCAGCCGCATCACTGAACTTGTAGCCATAGGAGGAGGTGAAGTCATCGAGGACAGCGGGGCCACGAGATCCTAGGAAATGGTTAGAAAAAGCTGGCTACAGGGCGTACACACTTCGAAGGCTTACCATAGGGGTACTCCATGGGGATGATCTCCTTGTTGTCGTCCAGGTAGTGCAGAAGAGGGGTGAAGATTCTCCAGCTGGCGTCCAGCTCGTCGTCACGAACAAAGTTGGAGTGGTCGCCCTTCAGGCAGTCCAGAATCAATGACTCGTAAGCCTCGGGGATCTTGAGGTCAGAGAAGCGGCGGCGGTAGGTCAAGTCAAGCTCGGTGACGACAGTCTGCATGCTCAGACCGGGCAGCTTGGAGTTCATCTTGACGTAGACACTCTCATTGGGCTGAATGCGCATGACAAGCTCGTTGCGGGGAATGTCCTTAAAGATGCCCGAGGTAACGTCCTTGAACTGGATACGGATCTCAGTCTTTTGCTCGTTGAGGGCCTTGCCGGCCTTCATGATGAATGGAACGCCATCCCAGCGCTCGTTCTTGATGTATGCGACAAGGGCGCAGAAGGTGGGACACCTCGAGTCCTTGGGGACAGTATCGTCTTCCTTGTACGATGGCTTGCTGCCATCCAATGACTTGCCGTATTGTCCGATGATCACGTTCTTGGGCTCAATGGCGGGCATGGCGCGGAGAACGCGCACCTTCTCGTCACGAATGTCCTCCGAGGCGAAGGAAATGGGGCGCTCCATGGCGAGCAGGGTGAGAACCTGGAGCAAGTGGTTCTGCTGAACATCGCGAATGATACCGAACTCGTCAAAGTAACCGCCACGGCCTTCGGTGCCAAAAGGCTCCTTGAAGGTAATCTGGACGTTGTCGATGTTCTGCCTGTTCCAGGTGGAGCCGAAGAAGGAGTTACCAAAGCGAAGGATAAGGATGTTCTTGACCATCTCCTTGCCGAGGTAGTGGTCAATGCGGTAGAGCTCATCCTCCTTCCAGTCGGGCTCGAGGGACTTTTGAAGCTCCCGGGAGCTGGCAAGATCCTTACCAAAGGGCTTCTCAATCTGCAGACGTCATCATGTCAGCAAGTTCATAAGCAATGAGCCAAAATTTAACGTGGACGACACATACGACAACGCGCGCAATTCCCTTGGTGGGGTAGCAGCATCTCTTGAGATGCTGGGAGACAATGGTGAAGACACTGGGGGGGAGTGCCATGTAGAAGAGACGGTGAGTCTCAGGCTTGCCCTGCTCGAGCTCCTCAAGGTGCCGGGTCAGGTTCTGGAATGACTCGTCCTTGTCGTACTGGCCAGAGACATAGGTGCAGAGGTTGCAGAAGTCATTGAGCTGCTGCTCAATCTCCTTTGTGGGTGTCTTCATGTAGGATCTGATGCGGCGGATGTAGTCATCGTGGTCCATCTTTGTCCGCGCATATCCGACAATCTTAATGTCCTTGGGGAGGAACTGGTTTCGGTACTATTTGCGCCGGGTTAGCTCGCCATATCCGTGGGAGAGGCATATCAATGCGGTCGAGAAGTTCGTACCAGACCGAACAGAGCAGGGTACTATAGAAATGTCAGCAGATTTTCCGGCCACGGAGAGGCGCTCATTCGCGTACAGTCTTCTTCTTTGCCAAATCTCCGGAAGCACCGAGAACAACGATGACGGTGTTCTCCTTGAGCTCCATAGAACTGTGTAAATAGCGCCATTGTCAGCCAAACTCGCACACCGAAGAACTAGAACGAGGCCATTGCCATTCTAGCACAACGCAAATTGCCGGACTTCAGGTTGGATGGCGATGGTGAGTGAACCTCCGGAATCGCTAAGCACAGCGGAAGGGAATGTTGGTGGGGTAGGAAGGCGGGGTGACATACGCTGCGGCGGAGGTATGATCGGCCATGGTGTGTGTGATGTCGGTGATGAAGCTGGCTCGACTATGAATGTTGCTTTAGATGAGAGATGTAGAGAAGAAGGGGGAAAGAAAAGCCTCTACAGCAGGAAACCAAAGTTAGCAAGCAAAAGGGCAGAAGAGCGAGCTGGGAAGGTTTTGGAAAGAGATGCTGGGCGGAATCCGGGACGGATGGATTGGGGTATTTAGTAATGACGGAGCACAGATGTACCTCACCTCTGAGGTAGGGGTGTAGAGGGGTGAATGGGTACGCCAGAACGGACCCGACGCATGTGTGGATGGGGTGAATTGGGATAAGGTATGGGTACCTAAGGTACGCACCTCAGCATCCGTACAGTGGTAGTGCGCCAGGCAGGGCATGGCAGCGTAGTGCGGCGCGAAGGCGCTGAAGGAGAAGGAGGGGGGACTTTGGGGGGGACTCTCGAGTCTCAGGGGAGCGAGTACCGTACAAAGACCGGGCCAGACAAGACGGCAAAAAGCCAAAAAAGATACTTAGCCTGAGATCAGGTCAACGTACCGCGTTTAGTGCATCCAGACGGGGTTTGTCAAAGCAGTACGGGTGCCAGGGGGAGCTTACTCACAGTCGCAGCCCACGTCTTGGTGCCGCCTCAGCGTGCCATGTACTGTACTTCAATACTTGTTGAAGTTGTCGAGTCCCGCAACCACACCGCGGCTCGCTCTTTTGCGCTTGAAAGCGAATCACTCTGGTGAAGGTGGGTAGGTTTCCCTCGATGGGCAAGTGGATAATTAATAGGTCAAGTCGATTTCGGCGGCATTACTGAGCGGTACCTACACAGTAAGGTAAGCATATGGATACCTACACAATGGAAGCACACGGGTGAGACAGAGGTTGGCACAGGTTGTCTTTGTGATTTCAGACAGACCAAGCCTGAAAAGCGCCCGCCCGCTCTCGCCGGACGGTCAAGGACGTGGACTTGGACTTGGACGGAGGAAGAAGCTGTGTGGAGAGAGAGACAGAGACACAGCAAGGAGCTGAGAGCGCACGGAGACGGAGAGCGAGGATTAGTGAGCGAGCGGGCTCTCGTGGATTATTCTACAGGTTTTCGGTGCTTTTTTGCGAGAGTCAAGGGCTCTTCCGGCCCCCTCGTTCAATGTCACCGGGGTTTCTGTCTGCTCCTCGCCGACTTTGGACGCGGGACTTGAACAGGGTTGATGTCAATGGAGGGGAAGAAAGGAGGGGCACCTCCTCGGTCTTGTCGACAAATTGCTGAGCGCTCCCGGAGATTCATACGTATTTATCGGTCTTAAGCTCCCCGGCCCCATCAGCACTGATCACTGATGAGTGGTGACTGAGCAGCGACCATCCACCAAGCAAGTGGGTGACAAAATCGATTTCCTGCCATTCATCTTGATAAGTACCCCTTTCACTACTCATATCATAACTACTATCCCTTTAGTATCAGAGTCCTTCTTATACACGTAGAGAAATCCACTCTGTTTAGAAGATAATAATCTTACTGATAATAGCGGTGGAACTGCTTGTCGGATGTGTCGAGCGGAAATCGATTTTGTCACCCACTTGCCAAGGGCCGTGAATCCCGCACCTCTGCGCGGTGCATTGAAGCAAACTGTGTGCAGGTGGGCTGAAGTTGCAGCGACAGGGCTCTGAATCTTTTTTTAATGTTTTCCCATTTTCCTCTGATGTTTTGTGTTTCTGGAGCTCCGGTGCGCTCTGACAGGCGTTGGTCCAACATTTCTGCTGCAGCTTGCATACGGAGGCACCTTAGCTCCTCTTCAGTCGAGGTACCCGATCTGCTCGAGAATCTCTATTTCTTTTCTTCGGGCAGGGGTCTGGCATGTACAGTACCTGCTGCTGTTCCCACTCGCCCCTGGGTCTTTGGAAATCAAAGAATGGTGTCCCGAACCGGCGGAATAGAATAGCGACGCTTGCATAGATGTTACACGATGATTGCTCTACAGAGCCTGGGTAACCAAGACACGGCCGTCTTTTACTCTGAAATTCAGATGCGGCAGAGACACTCGCCAGTCCACTTACAAGTTAGTGGGAGGCATTGGCTTTGTGCTGGGAATCCAATTGCCCAAGGTCTAGTCTTTGATGCCGTCAGCGCGCCGGACCAAATCAAGGTGGCATGGGCGCGAATGACTCTGTGCACACTGGAGCTATGCCGGGAAGCTATGACTAGGTATTCGTACATACCGCAAGGTTGAGCCGATTCGAGTCGAGTGATCTACAGATGCTGTACCTGGTATACTACGTACGAATAAACCACCCCAACTTAGTCACCATGTCAACATAGCATCCACACATATGACCTCAGATAACTAGGGCCCCAAAAAGGGTCTAACATCAGCAAGACTGCCCAGCATTGATAATTGAACATTTGGATCTTGGCTTGGGCTCCATCTCCGGCCCCAGCTGATGCGGCGGTATTCCCAGTCCCTCTCTTCCAAACGCCGGACACCGCCGAGGCTCCCGATCGGACTTTGCTACTTATGAGATCGGTCTGGGTAGCTGAGAAGCGAGGGCGGAATTTAGGAAAGCTGTGGAAAGCGTGGGTCGCCAGCCTGTGTGAAACGGTGCTCCGTAAGGTAACGACAGACCTGTCACACTCTGGCCTGTGTCGTCGCCGCGCCGGGCCCAGTTGCATTGGAGAGTCATGTCTGTCGCTGCTGCAGTGCAGGCGGATATGACTGTGGTACATTTCCTTCCCTTCTCTTCCCTTCCCAGCCGTTCTCATCGCTCCGATGTTGTCACCGCGGGGTCTTCCAAGAAGGCTCCATGCCAGCTGCCACAACTCCATCCCGCTGCCGGTCTGGCCAATGCAACTGTGGCATGAAGCTCTACTGCAGACCTGCTGGGCAATCGGCAGAGTTTGGCGGCCAGAAATTGCCGCAAGCCCACACTTTGAGGCGTTCCAATCGTTGAAGCTGGCGGCTCAACCTGTGCCGGACATTTAGTGCCACGGCCGCCGCCAGGACATTTGGAAGCATCTCCGGAGTCGCTCCTGGGTTGGGCCCCCCACGGTTCGGTCTTCGTCGGTTCTAATTCCAAAGGTCCGAAATTCCTGGTAGGTTGCGTGGGATTATCCGTAGTTCGGTTGACGCTTCAATAGTGGAAGATGTTTGAGACATTTCCTGCATGGCCATCAGATTTTGTCTCTCCCCCTTTCCCCCCTCATATTCATCTTGTTTGCACCAAAAGAGACGCCGATCCAGTTCAGGAAATCCCGCGAGATTTTGGGATCTGGGTGGTGGTTTATACTTGGGACGTCGGACTGCCAGGAAAGGCCGCCCTACAACTGTCTCACAACTCCGCGGGTTCGGCCGTCCAAGCTCCAACGGATGGCCTGAAATATTCTGGAACTCCGGTCGAGCCGCACATCTGTTTCCGAGTTTGCCATTCTCAATCGAAAGTTGGTATAGGTCACCAGTTACGGCCAAACTTCACTTTAGCAACTCCCCCCGGCAACTGCCTGCGGGATGTAACCAGTGCTGGGCTGAGGAGCTCCGGTAAGGCTCACACACAAATGGACGTTGTGGTGCATCATTGCATTTGTCATTGACGGATTTTCTCCCGCGACGACAAAGTCTTATCCGCCGCGGCTGCAAGGCTTCGGGCGAATGAAGGTGCGAGGGAAGTCGGTGTGGGCTGAATAGCGGCCAAGACGCGTCCAGGCCAGACTGGGTCCCGGGTCGGCAGCTGGGCGGGATTGACACCGAGTTGGCCGAGAAACACAAATCCATGGAATGGTAAATTTGGAAACGCCCGGACGGGACGTGGAAGGATGGAAGGATGGAAGGCTGACTGCGCCTCACCTGTTGATCAAAGCCACAATGGCACACCTTACCTTATCTTATCTCGAAAATGGATTCAAGTGAAGTGGGGTGGAGTCTGCACCTCACCTTAGTCATCTCACGTGCCTCCGCAGCCCTAATTGTGCGCCGACGAAATTCGAAATTGGCTATCGGCCCCCGTAGCGAACATACCGAAATCGCCAACCCACGACGAGCGCCCGGAGTATTAGTCCATCGACAATCCTCTGCCTTCCTTTCTCGAGTCCCTTTGGTTGGAGCGTCGACATACTAACCACCGCCAAAATGCCTTCGGAAGCCGGTCACAGATGTGAGTAATTCGATGTCCAATCCTCCTGCTGCAAAAGTTTGCAATGTCGAACAGAGCCGCGTATTGCCTTGAACCATGCGAATAGGGTCAATCATCGCGCAGTCTGCAGATATCACACTGTGGTGTTTACATATTATGGAACTTGAACTGACATGATCCTTTGCAGTATACGTCAAGTAAGTTACACCCAATCGAATTTCTACCCATCGGAACCGACGACGCAACTCGTGGATCAAAACGACTTCGCCCATCACCTGGACAAACGATGCCTCGGCGACCCGAACTTTGCGCGACGAAATGTACATTAAACCGAATGAATCGAAACTAACAAGCATTTCAGGGGACGTCACCTCAGCTACCAGCGTAGCCGTCACGTCACCCACTCCAAGACGAGTCTGATCAAGATCGAGGGAGTTGACGACACCAACGCCGCCAAGTATGTCACCCAATCCGCGCCTTCCCCCTCATAACGCCTAAGACGAACGGTGGCTAATATGAGAGCAGCTTCTACCTCGGCAAGAAGATCGCCTACGTCTACAAGGCCCAGAAGGAGATCCGCGGTTCCAAGATCCGCGTCATCTGGGGCAAGGTCACCCGCCCTCACGGTAAATACAGCCTTCCTCCGATCGAACACTTCCCCCGCGAAACCGAGCCCCCAGCTAATACTAGGAAATAGGCAACTCTGGCGTCGTCCGCGCCAAGTTCTCCAACCCCCTCCCCACCCGCTCTTTCGGCGCATCCGTTCGCGTGATGCTCTACCCCTCGTCGATTTAAAAAACGGACTCATCATCGGACGGAGTTGGTATTTGAGGATGGATTCTGAATTGGTTGCATCGGTCCAGGCAAGGGCAAGAGCACAGTGCCTTGCTTGCTAAAAAAAAGGCATCAAATCAAACTCGTCAAACAACCACGCATGAAGGGCGAAACGCACAACCCGCCGAGAACCCTCCCCCACCCAATTTTTTTTTCATTCGAGACATGGGAATATGATTCTGCGTGATTCGACAAAAAGAATGGAAGAGACGTTTGTGTACGGGTCGCGAAGAGTAGCCATTATTGTCGGGGGCTCGAGGACGGGGAAATGAAAAAAAAAAAATCAACAACTTGATGTTGCTGGCCGGCTACACAAACGCGATAACGACGAACGGTAGATCGGGCGGCATTAATGTCAGGTGTTTTCAAAAGACATGGCTCAGCGACGGTATTCAATGGTTTTTGCACAACTTCCATTCGGCTCCCTCTTCATAAGCTGCCCGCGGCTTGTCCCCAGTCCTAGTCCAAATGTCTTGCTGCCAAAGCAGTCCCAAAGCCTCCAAGTCCAAACTTTGCCAACGTGTGCTCTGGTGATGTACCTTGTTGAGAATCAGTGACATACTCACAATGCGCATTTGGAACGATGCCGATACGCCCAGTCTACCTTGCTCTATCTATTCCCATGGACTGTGCGATTTGTTGAAATCCGGGGAAAGAAAGCCTGCCCTAATCTACTGCCATGTTCCCTGACTTCGATATCCCATCCATCATCCAACGTAGGTACTCGTCCATCGTTTCAGTTAGGTATTCGGAGCATGTCAGGTTTCCATCAAGCAGTCTAGGAACCTTTCACTCTAGCAGGACCTTATCGCGAAGTGTTCGAGGAGATTCTCGCTGGTTTCGACGACCCTACAGTCCCAAAGGTCTCAAGGGACACTTTTGAGAAGTGACGTCAAGGGCATTTACTGACAAGAAGCGGATCCATGGGGGCCGCTCCCACCCCGTCCCGATATCCCGCAGCCGGGAAATCTTCCGTTCATCTTCGGCAGATTTACCGCTTCGGTACCACGAAATGGGGTCCTCCGGCCGAGAGGGGTGATCTTCCGAAGATCTCCGTCTGGCTTGTAGCACCCAACATATACCTGCTTGCTCGTACGGTGCATGCGCGTGGGCCATGGGTCTGAAATGTTCTCACCGCAATGAAGTAAATAGATTTGTTCGACCATTGAAATGTGAGCGGGGGTGGTGTGAGAATTCTCGCTTGAGTTCAAATCATGAGCTAGCAATATCCGGATCGTCGTCGGTTTGTCGCCGGATTCGTTTCAACGTCCTCCGATTCAGTATAACAGGGACTTACCTGTAGGATGTACATATCTGGAATGAGATTAGATCCAGGAAGATAAGGTAAGAGAGAAAAACCTGGGTATGTACAGGAGGGCGCGGAAGCTTTGGAAACGGGTATGAACAGACGGGTCACGTACGTAAGGTTAACACCATCCAGACCCAGGATATCAACTCATACAAGTCGCATTCTCCAACACAGAGCTCCAGTATGAATGTTTGATTTTTGTACATTATGCCATACACTATCTCCGCTTCACTATTCCATATTCCCCGTATTGCATTCCGAAACTCCTAAGCCCGTGGATAGGGGCTCATAGATACTGCACCCCTTACCACCGAATCCATCATTCAATATCCTCCATCGCCCACGCGCTCACGCCCGCCCTCTCGACATTAGCCTTGAGCTTGTTCAGCACAGCCTGTCGCTTGGCCCGCTTCGCCATCAGCTCCGACTTCTCCTCCCCGCTGAACCCGCTCAGCTTCTTGCGCGGGGGCGTGCCGGTGCCGCCGCGGCCGCCGTACGAGGCCACGGACGACACCATCGAGTTGCGCAGGGTGCCGGGCGACGCCATCACGGCAGATCGCTCGGGCGAGAAGAGGATGGATCGGCTGTTCCGCTGGGGCGTAACCAGCGGGGAGCCCTCGCGACTGTTGACCGACGAGAAGCGGAGCTTGCGCATCTGGTTCTCGAGGACGTCGATATCGCCGGATCGCTTCTCCACCATGCTGGTCATCTTGCCAATGGTCCGCATGACGGCCTCGACGGTAGGCATGTTGGAGTTGCCCTTTCCAGATGCGCTGTTCGCGGCGGCGATTCTAGTCTTCAGGATCGTCAAGGCCTCCTCGGCTTCGGCGAGAAGCTTGGTGAAGTTTGTGTATTCACGACGCAGCTCGTTCTGCTGACTTGCCTGCTCGGTACTCAGAGGCAGAGAGCGGCTGATGTCGGCTTGGTCGGGGTCCGTCTTCACCATAATGATCTTCTTAAGATCATCTTGCTTGGATCGGAGACGAGACATTTCGCGGGCGAGCTCATTGCACGCCTCAAGCTTCTCTTCAACATCGTGAACACGGCCATCCTCGAGATCCTGAGCCAAAGATCTGTCAACGACTTCTCCGAGCTCATCAATCTCGCAGAGAACCCAGCTATCTGGGTTCTCGAGGTCTTGCTTGCGTCGGCCTCCGGCCTTGAATCCGATGTCGTGCCCCATGAGAAAGCTGGCAAGAGAGCGAGCATTCAGACCAAGGGTGTCGATCATCGAGTTGATGTCGCGATACACTGCCTCCACCTGGGCCGGGATGGTCTCCTTGGCTGATGGTACAACGTTTGAGTGGGCGATGAAGTCATCCAGCTTTAATGTGGGTTCGATCTTGGAGGCAAGAATCTTCTGAATCTCATCATCCTCCTCATCCTCCAGTGCCCTGGTCTCCTCAGCCTGCCGCCTTTGGCGCGCAAGTCTTTGCTGAGCAATGAAGTGATCATCGTTGGATTTATTCCCAACAATGGATGACCCCATTTGCGAAGGCTGCTGTTTCTGGGCCGCAAGAATCTGAGATGCCATGCCCGGGGCACTAACCGAACGAGCAGACTCCTGGCGCATGATACGGCCTGGCACAGCGCCACGGACTGGGCTGGGAGAGCGAGGGCTGGTTTGGGACGGTCGGGGAAACATGGGAGCATTGCGGCTCAGGTCGCCAAACAACGATGCCCGCGGTCTCTCTTCCTCTGTCCGTGGGACCGAGTAGGTGCTGCTACTAACACCACCGAACGAGCTTTGCGGGGTCATGCCCGCCGTAGGGGTCATCGCCGTCATTGATGGGCTTTGGTCCTTGGAGACAATGACGCCGCTGCCCTCAGACTCATCATCGTCGTCCTCATCCTCAAGATCGGTGTCATGCTCACTATCAGGCACAGTCGGAATGGAGGGGAAGGCAGGCTCCTTGGGCTTAGTGAGGAAGTCTGGCGGCAACGGAGCATCGTTTACCGCAGGTGTGGTGTTCTGAGGGGTAGACGACCACGTTGCCGACGACAAGGATTGCTTGGGCATCTTGAGGAAGTCCGGAGCCGCAGCAGGTGCAGTCGATTTGGGCCGTTCAAGCTCCTCGGGCGAGGACTGGTCGTCTGCTGGCAAAGGAAGCGCCGCCGAAGGCGTGGCAGACACTGCGGTCTTGCCAGGCTTGGGCGTGAGGAAGTCGGGTGGGAGAGGAGCTTCGTCGGCTGGGGTAGTGCTTCCCTCTGGCTTTGAAGGCTTGAGGAAATCCGGCGGTAGCGGAGCAGCATTGGCTGCCTTCGTTGACGTTGCCTTTGGCGTAGTAAGGAAATCAGGAGGCAGAGGCGCATTGTCCACTTGAGGCGAAGCCTTACTTCCACCGTCTGAAGGAACATTTCCGGTGCCCGAGGAAGACGAGGAATCGCCAAGAGGGTATGAGTTTTTGCTTGTCGTATCAGGGGGCAGAGGAGTGCTGGACTCGGCCTTGACCTCTGGTGTCTTCTCTACTGGCTTTGCAGAACCAAACAAACCTCCAGTGGCTGGTTGAGAAGGGAATCCAAACAAGCCACTCTTGGGGGCTGATGTTGAAGTCGGCGGGAAGCCAAACTTGGAAGGTGCTGGAGTTTCTTTAGGCGTTGTGGATTGGCCCAGGCTGAAGACCGATTTGGGCTTTGGTGTCTCTTCGTTTGATTCCGTGGTCGTTTCCTTAGGAGGAGTCTTCGTCACGGCGCTTCCAAGTGCAGAACCGAAGTTGCTGCCAAACAGAGACGATCCGCCAGGGGTAGAAGGCTTCTCATCATCGTCCTTGGCAGAGGGATCTGCCTCGAAGGTGGTTCCCAACTTGAAAGGCTGGCTGAAGGGATTGCTAGTCGCCGGGCCAGTCGAGCTCGGGGGAGGGAATGCGGTATCCTTAGAAGCCGCGCCCAGTTGACCCCCAGAGCCGAATGGACTTGACGAAGGCTTGCTGGAGAAAACACTACTGCCCTCGTTGCCCTTATTCGCAAGAGAACCAAAGCCACCAGAGCTAGCAAAGCTAGAGAATCCCCCAGACGCAGGTGCAGGTTTGGCTGCTGATCCACCGCCAAACACACTCTTATTCTCGGATGTTCCGAAGCTGCTAGGCTGACCGAACGCCGGTGACGCAGACGTGTTCGCACCAGATGCTCCGCCTGACGCCCATGGAGAAGACTTCTGTCCAAGCGACGACGACTGACCAAAACCGACTGATGAAGGCTGGCCAAACGCCGGGCCTGATGAGGAAGCAGCTGGTGTCCCAAAGGCGCTGCCACTGCCGAACGCTGATTTGGGTACAGCCGATGGAGTAGCAGAGGGGGTCCCAAAGGCGCTTCCGCTACCAAATGCCGACTTGGGTGCATCCGATGAAGCAGCGGAAGGGGCCCCAAAGGTACTACCACTGCCAAATGCCGACTTGTTTGCAGCTGGAGTTGTGGCGGAAGGGCTTCCGAAAGAGCCGCCAGTGCCGAACGCTGATTTCGTTGCGGAGGCCTGAGCAAAAGGAGAGCCAGATGTAGCTGAGCTGCCACCAAAGGGGCTGCCGCTGCCAAACGTAGAACCAGAGGTTGCGGGAGCGGTGGAAGACGTCGTCGCAGCGCCCCATGGTGAAGCCTTAGACCCCAGGGCTGACGAGCCACCAAATGTAGGGATCTTGGATCCACTAGAACCGAATGGTGAGGCCTTTTGGCCTGAGCCCAAGGCGGATGCCGAACCGAAGGCCGGGGTGCTCGAAGGAGCGCCAAATGCTGATGTGTTCGAAGCCGGGGCCGGGGCCGGTGCTGCTGCTGGTGTCGAGGTGGATGTGCCGGCAGGGGGCGCGGAAGTATCAAGCGCGGCCATGCCAGGGTATGTCGTGCCCTGCCTGATGGAGTCCTCGTAGATAATCCACCATGAACTGAGGACACCTTCATTGTTCAGCACCCACAAACCCGGCACTGGGCCCGGAGAATCCTCAATCTCTTCATCGGCGGGCAAGGGCTTGTACACCTTGTCCTTGGCTGAGAGATCAAGAGCGACACCAATGGGGATGGTGTTCTCAAAGCTGTCAGTCATGGGCAGAGAAGCACGTTTTGAGTCATCGGCTAGTTCTGTTGTGGTAAAGACCCCGGTGGTGTCGACTGGATGATCAGAAGTCAGAGGTGACTTCGCCCTGCTGAGGAGGCCGATGTCTGGGGAGACGGTTGATGCCACGATGAGGAGATCTGAAAGGTTGGGAGGGAATTCCTTGAGCCTCAGTATTGAGTGGTGAGGCGGCTTTTCGGCGCCAAATGGGTCGACGGGGTCGTTCAACTTTTGGAAAGTAAAATCTGATGGCAGCTTTCTTGTAATGAGATGGTATACTGAAATTGGAGGGGACTCTGAAGTTGATGTGTGGATGGCGAGGAACAGGTGATTTTCCAGCCAAGTTAGAGAAGATACTGTAGTCAATTAGTTCAGCATAGTTGCGCGTTTCGCCAGCTCGAGAACCTACCGTGAGCATCCGACACGTTTGGTGGCCGCGGAATCTCGCCCTTGGCTTCACCCTCAGGGGTCATTTGGAAAATGGTTCCGTCCGCCAGGCCCGCCACCAGCTGCTTTCCCTTCGTGCTCCAGCTTATACAGCTGACCTGTGCCTTCAGCGCGTTGCTGACTGACCTCTCCTTCAGGTTCGCCATGTGTAGGTTGCCGTTATTCGTCACAATGGCGCACAGTTCCGCCTTCTCGATCGTGGGGTTCGGAAAGAGCGCCCTCAGCGTTTCGCCGTTCGTCGCTAGCTCGAACGCAGCTTTCGTAGCACCCTGGAGCAGGCTTTCGACCTCGTATACCGCGAGACCGCCTCCGCTCTCGGCGGAGAGGATCAGGTAGTTCTCATCGGCGCTGAAGGCGAGCTGCGACACCCTCATAGGCATGGGCAGCTTGCCCTGCGGCTGGAACGCGCGAACATCGGAATCGCCTTCCTTTTCGCCCTCGAAGCCCTTGCGCACGGAGTCGGTCGAGGTGATGGTGATACCGTCGGGTCCGGCGGCGGCGACGAGGCCTCGGCGGGAGGCGATGCTAATGAGCGAGGCGGTATCGGCGGGCGGCGGGGACCAGGCGGATGTGAGTCGGAGCTTCGCGTCGCCTGCAATCGACTTGAAACCAAGCGCCTGAATAGATTTACATGGTGAGCCTCGAACTTTCAAAAGACAGCGGCATCGACGGTGTCGGTGACCAGATCTCACCTCGGTCTGGATCACCTCCAGCTCGGGGCCTTGAGTCAGTCCTCCTCCTCCTCCGGCCGTGGCATTTCCTTGGTTCGCGAAGCTGAAAGCCATGACTGTTGCGACGTGACCGGCTTGTGGAGGGAGGACGTGTAAGTCAGGGTGGTCCTTCGCATTCGCTGGAGGGGTCGCGTTTGTTGATAAGAGTTTTCCCCTAGTGCCTCTTTTCTTTTTCGTCTTCTTGTTGCCCCTCCTCTATTTCTTGCTGTTGTTAAGGTGCTTCGCGCAGCAGTCAGCTGGGAGGTGTTGTTGCTCGAGCCACGAGGTTTGGCTATGTTCCTGCTGTCGCAACCGGCAGAAACGGGATATGGAGAAGGGGAAAAAAGCTGGATGAAGCCTGGCTAATCGCCTCAAATTCGGAAGAAAATAAGTATTATGTCGTTCCACACGTGGAAACGCGATGCAATTGGGTGCAAAGCAGAGAGACAGGCGCCAGTCGAGATGCGTAAAAGAGTCTTGCACCTTTTGCTGGTCTTTTGCCCTGGGACTTTTTTTGAGGAATGGCTACCTAAAAATTCCCAGCTCTCTGCTTGGCCCATCCCCCGTTCCCCGGCCGGTCGCCTGCCAATCCCTCCAAAAATTTGAGTCACGTGCAGTGAGCTTCGGTCTAGCTCAGATCTGGGGCTCTCTCTGTCCAATCATTGCCGGCTCTGGCAAGCTCCGTCGAATGTCAGAGTGCCTTGCAGGCGTGCAGGAGCTCCCAGGCCCCCCAAACAGCGGGAACGACCATCGAAGGCAGCTTTTAGCCTCGTCATCCAGCTCTACCTTACCGTTTACCGCGTCCACCTTCAACCTCACTCGATCCCCACCTCACCTCTCGACGACTTCTCCCCGAACCCAACTTCGACTGCCACGACTCACGACCACAAAGCTTTTGAACGAATTCGACGGTTTTTATACACATAGGGTAGCGACTGCGGTTTCCAGAACAAGGCAGCAACGATGCCCGGCTTCGACTTCTCAAACTACAACCGCAATGCGGCCCTCCACGCTCGAGGTGTCCCCCTCCCCAAGGCGACGAGCACAGGTACCACCATCGTGGGATGCATATTCGACGGCGGTGTTGTGGTCAGTACCCTCCATTCGATTCACGCGTTTGAGCAACGATGGCAACCTTCAGGATTTGCCTGGTTTCCCCCCTCTCTCTCTCCCCTCCCGAAAGCATCCCTCGTCTTCAACCGCAGGAGCTGACAGAGCGATGTACACGCTAGATTGCCGCCGATACAAGAGCAACCTCGGGGCCCATCGTCGCCGACAAGAACTGCGAAAAGCTGCACTACATCGCCCCTCAGATCTGGTGTGCAGGAGCCGGTACCGCCGCCGACACCGAGTTCACCACGGCAATCATATCCTCCAACCTCGAGCTCCACGCCCTCTCCACGGGCCGCAAGCCCCGCGTCGTCACCTGCATGACCATGCTCAAGCAGCACCTCTTCCAGTACCAGGGCCACATTGGTGCCTACCTCGTCGTCGCCGGCGTCGACCCCACGGGAACCCATCTCTTCACCGTCCACGCCCACGGTTCCACCGACAAGCTCCCCTACGTCACCATGGGCTCCGGCTCCCTGGCCGCCATGTCCGTCTTCGAGACCCAGTGGAAGCCCTCCCTGACCCAGGACGAGGCCGTCAAGCTCGCCAGCGAGGCCATCCAGGCCGGTATCTTTAACGATCTCGGCTCCGGAAGCAACGTCGATGTCGCCATCATCACAAAGGACAAGACCACCCTCAAGCGCGGCTTCGTCAAGCCCAACGAGCGTAGCGCCAAGCTCAAGAGCTATGCCTTCCAGAAAGGTACCACGGCCGTGCTCAACGAGAAGATTATCAAGAAGAACGAGATTGGCCGCTACGTGAGCGTAACGGAAGTGCCGGCCGGTGAAGCGATGGAGGTTGATACCTAGATGCATGATGTTTACGAGGCAATAGGAGCGGGGGGTTCTTAAGACGTGCTAAATGAAGTACTTCCATATCGGGAAGATTCTGTACCAATACAATGATGGCAATAGACGAGACTGACGCAAACCGTTTCCCCCAAAGTGCAAACTCTCCATCCTTATTCTGACATAGAACAACATTGTAATCTACTTGGAGGGGATTCGGTAGCCGCTGTGTGTGGATGCCCCTCAAAGGCTTTGGTCAACATTCAGTAGCCTTGACATAGTACGGCCATTTGATCTCGTGCCAGCACTTCATGTCAATTCAAAGTGGTTGCTTAGTAGTTTGATTTCGAAAATTAGATCCATTGGCTACACTACCGCAACTGGGTAGTCAGACGTATTTTGTAAAACAAAGGGAATCCCTATGAAGGAAGGGAGCAAAGCCATTGCTTCCCTCCCAGAACAAAAAAGACAAAAGTGGTATATACATAGGAATCAAGGGTATGTTTGATCAAGGTCTTAACACATAGAAAAGGACCCCTGACTTTTTTATGTCCCTATGTCACAAACCCAGAGTCCCTTCAAGACCCAAATCCCTCGCACACATTGTTAGAACAAAGTAGGGAGAGGCGTCCTTGTCCCCCCTCCCTTAGGTCACACTTCTTGAGACCTTGTTGAATACAGAAAATGGCACAATTCCTAGCCTCTGAGATTTTAAATGCCCAGTAAAAATAGCTGCACTCCGCAGAGCCAGTCTTCCAAAACTCCGAAGATGCGGGGTATGAAGGTGATGTTGTGATGCAAGTAGTCATGATCCATGAAATGCCGCTAGACGCTCCGCGCAAAAAGAACTTCAAAAAGACTCATCGCTAGCCAGTCTTGATGCCGAACATGGTGCGCGTCCTCGACTTGCTGCGAGCATTTTTGGCAGGCTTGCCTTCGTCATTGTACTTTGACTTGTGAATCCTGTGATGGCGCTCGTCAGTACCAATATTCCGTTCCATTGGAAGGCTACATGTAAAACATACCAGCTGTTGCCGACCATGTTCATCCCTTTGGCCTCAGCTTGTCTATAAAAGCCAGCGGCCTTCTTAAGGTTCTTCTTGCAGCCAACTCCTTGAGCGTAGCAAAAGCCTGCTTCGGCCAGTGCATCTACATCGCCCCAAGCTGTTCACATGATTAGCGTCATGGATCCGTCAAAAAATGCAATCTCGACTTACATCCGGCAATCTCAAAGCATCTCAGGGCAAGAGCCTTGTCCTGCTCGATGCCCCATCCGTTCATATGGCTCACACCCAGCTCATAGATGCTGAGTGCGAACTGTGCCTTACGAGTTCTTCGCTCCATGGCATCCACAAACTTTCCTTCCTTGACATGGTCCTCGTCATCAGCGATTTCAAGGCTGGCACATTCAGCTGCCTTCCGCAGCCACTCAACACCCTCCCGCTGGTTGGGCCGCATGCCCCAGCCGTGTCTGCATGCCAGCGCATACAGAAGCATACCCGTCGGGTTGCCTCCCTTTGCTGCATGGCGAAGATGGTAGGTGGATTCCTTCACTGAGCCATTCTCATGGCATTCGATGCCCTTGGCTAGGTGCTCCTCCGGAGACATGTCTGAGGCCGTGGGGGCTCCTGACGCCAATGAGCGAGTCGCCTTGACAGTGCTGTTGGAATCACTAGTGGTAGTTGACATGGCAGTCTGGCCACGAGCAGCGGTATCGTGGGCCTGAGAAATAAGGGTACGGCCCCGAGAATCCTCCTCTGAAGCCCGACTCTCGGTCGATGGACGGCTGGGATTGGGAGATGGCTGCGGCGCCGGGCCCCCGCGATCGAGACTGCGCTTTCCTTGCTCGAAAGACGGCTTGCCCAAGCTGAGATTATCGGGCTCCGCTGAGCTAGACGGCCGAGTTGGTGGAGATGGAGGTGCTCCGCGTTGGATTGCTTGCACATTGCTGGGAGCAATTACAGGCTGCTCCCACTGGAAGGAAGCTTGCGGGTGAGGATCGAGAGGAACAGATCGCTGAACGACCTTGCCTCGAGGAAGTGAGTACTTGGAATAAATATACGAAGGAGCGGCCTTGCCATCGTCGTGCACATGGTCGGGGAAGCCTTCGCTGTTCATGCTGACAGGAGTGTTGGCAGAGTCGTCGTTCGCAAACATGAATGACGGTTGGCTGTCAGATGAGGCCTGACGCGTCGGGGTCTCCAATCCAGGTGTGCCGGCTCGGCTCATGGGCCTTGAAAAGTTGAAGGAGGGTCGCGGTAATGGCATTGAGGCGTCGGAGCACACGGAAGGTGAGCGCTGGAAAGGGCCTGGGTTCAGGTTGGGTGACGCTGTTGACACCGCATAAGCGCTGCAACTCGAAAGTTTGCGCGGTGGCAACGACTGAACAGAGTTGCTCATGTCGTCGCTAGTATTTTCGAGGGGAGAAGACATGGAGGTCGCCGATCGTGCTGTAAAGCTGGGTCGCGGAGGAGCCAGGCCAGGTCCATCAAATGAGTGTCCTTTTGACTTGCCGGGCGATCCATTCAATGAGTTTTCGCGTGACCGTGCTGGCGAGAGCAGAGGTAGTGAATGGTCTTTTCGTGGAGGCGAGGCTTGCAAGTGCGAGTCGTTCGTCGGGTGTTCCATAGGCGCTGGGGACTGCTCTCTTCTTGCGCCAAAGTACGTCTCGTCCTGGTGCTCCTCCATCGGATCCAACACTCGTCCACGCATCACATCGGGCAGCGGCGTTGGGAGAGGTTCGTTCTCGTCGGGTGTGGGCGGAATGCGGCTCATTCGGGGGTGCACTGAAACGGGGCGATCTTTCTCAGACGGGAAAGCGTCCTCAACCTCGGTTCTAAGTCCCAATCCTGGGTTTTGAAGCTCAGGAAGTGGCATCTCGTCGGATCCTGAATCGTTAGACATGGAGCGGAAGTAGTCTGATCGGCCCTGTAAGACCAGAGGACTTTCGGTCGTCAGAGGTGGGAGTCTGCTCATGCGCCTTCCTTCGCCGCTCGCGGCAGCTTGGAGCTGTCTCGCCAACAGGCGACTCTGAAGAGCGAAGGCATCGAGAGGTGACAATTCGGGAGGTGCCTCGCCTGCGACGTGGAGTCTGGGGGATCGCAAAGGTCTCGAAACGTTGGACATGCTCGAGGGCGCCCGGAGATCGATGAAGTTTGGGCGTTGCGGCGACATGGTCGGTCGATTTCGGATCGCGCGTTGCTTTAAGTTCCCATGCAATGCGATGCAGCTGTTTTGCAGGTCTCGTGTGAGTTGGGGGAGTCGACAACAGATAGGATGAATGATCGGGCGAGCCTAAGAAGTGGTCGGTGGTTGGAATCCTGGCGGTGCAGGTCGTGTCTTAGCCGAAGGATCGGTTATGGCGTCAGTCTAGAATGTAGGATGCCACAGAGAGGTCGAATAACAGGTCGATGGCCGGCTGATGGTGTGGCTGCCGAGAATGCTACCAACCGCGCATAAGAACAATGAGGTCAGGATTGGTTAGACACTCGAAAACGGGAGAAAGTTTTGATACGGGTCGAATATGGGCGGAAGAAGCAGAAATGAAATCTGAGGTCGACTATTTTGGAAACGGGTGTCGTCGTAGGGGCCTTTCCTTTCAATCGGTGTTGCAGTTGGGTAAACAGTGTCGAGGATCGGTAGAGTGTTCTTTCTTAGAATCCAAGCAGTACGCACTAGCGGGAGGCGGGCGTCCGTTTTAGGCACTGCGGTCTGGCGGATAACAAAGAAGGCGCAGCAGCCAAGAGGGAAGGTCGAGAGACGAAAAGAGTGTTGGAAGAAGAGGATTCGAGGGTATCAAGAGACAACCTGAGGTAACCTGAGGTTAAGTCAAACTGGCCGGCCGGTGCTTGGTGCTAAGTAAGGTAGGTAGTAAGAGGTCTCAGGCCGAGAGCAGCTGGAAACGGTTCTTTTCGACGCCTGTGCTGAGTATTGGTCCTGATCTGTCGCGAGGAACAGATGATGGAACACGGACACGAGGAGGGGAGGGGGAAGCCTGGGAGGGAAGGGGGGAAAAAAGAGAAAAGGTCGAGAGGAAGCGAGACGAGAAGCGGGAAAGAAAGAATGAATGGAAGCGATCTCTGTTTCCCCCCAGAATCGGATACGAGGGGGAGGTGATGAGCAGGTGCCAAAACGGCCGGGGGAGGCAGGCGAAAGAGGATGAACGGGAGACGAAAGAGGGAAAGAAGCAATGCACTTGAGTCGCCTCGGGCTGGAACTGGTTGTAGTGCAATAGGTAGTGCAATGGTGCAGTTGGATTGAACTGGATTGGATTGAATTCCCAGAGGGGGGGCACTTGGGGCCCTTGAGGCACTTGGGGCCCTTGGGAGGGGACGGGGACTCAGAAGTGACTTTGCACTTGTCAACTGGGACAGGGTGTTATTGGGCCAATCGTGGGGACGTAAGGAACAGACTGAGTTGGGTCTAGCACCTACCGCAACGCTAATACAGGGACATGAGTACTCCGTAAGGTACCGTAAAAATGGAAAGCTCCTTCCATTCGACACCTCACGCTCCCGTACTCAATGGAACATGGTAGGAACGTTCCTGAGTGGGAATCCAGAGGTGGGTGCCTTCCAGTTGGAAGCACGGGCATCGAGACCGGTAGAGGGCGGGGATACGTACCGCGGTACGTCCAAGGGATGAGTTAGCACCACATGTATCCGCAGCCACGACGGCGCCAGGGCCCCCCATGCGAGGCATGCCGCACGGAAGCAGGGGCAACAACAGGGGATGGCATCACAAGCAGACGCCCACGAAACACAGCAGGAACAACTGGTGAAAGTTGCACGCGAATAAGCAGCCAGAATATGCATTTCTATGCAGCTCAGTTCTAAGGTGTCTTGTGTATCTATGCAAGGTACAGCAGCAACACTTATTGAAACCCCTTAGTGTCTGCAGTTGTAAATCATGGCTGGCCGTCTGCCGATGGCGTTGTCTGGGGTGCAGGTACACAACAGTCATTGGATGGCATCGCATAGCAACACGATGCACTAACAGCAAGACCCAAATTTCCCCTTTTT